TGTGTGCTTTCAGTCTCTTTCTGACTGGTTCATAACTGTCTTGAGGCAATGAAGCTTTCTCCTGTTGCTTTTGTTGATGACACCCTTAAGTTCACCACTAACCCTTCTTCTACAAGGGACCTACTCTAGCTAGGGATAGCCATCTGTTCCCTGTGTGTCCCAGTGCGATTATTAATAGAGCTTCCTTTTGTCTCACAAGAATTCCTGTTTTGCAAAATAAGTTACCCTAACTAGAACAATCATCGTATGAATATTCTCAATCAAACTCATTAAACCCCCCTCACTCATTCCCAAACCTGCTCCACAGTCTGTTAGGATCTCCATCTTGAAAGCTGGCCCTCATTCGCCAGCTGCCCAGGAGTCTCCTAACCCTCCACTAAAACAGTTGCCAAGCCCTGCCTCTTTAGCCCCCAGAAGGTCTCGCAAATGTATCCTCTCCTCTCCGTTCCACTATAATTTAGATTGGGGTGAGTTTAGATTAGGGTGGTGGCATCATAAAATCACAGTTCTACCTGTGCCAGGCAGATAGGTGACCATAGGGGGTGGGTATAAACACGTGGACCTCTCTGTCCGTTCTTTGTTTTCAAACTATTGATAGAGATTGAGTTCAGTAAATATTTCATTTTCCTCCTGATTTCCCCAAAGTTAAAAAAAAAAAGAAAAGAAAGAAAAGAAAAAGCCCAAAAGCAGTGATAAATGGCATTGGCACTTCGCCTTAGTGACCAGAGTAACAGGCAGCAGTGGGGACAGTGCTGGACCAGTGTACTTTTCTCATTTCCAGGGCCAGCTGCTGCTGCTCAGCTCCAGCCAGGTGACTGTTGCCCTGCAGGAAGGTGGGCTGCTAAAGCCAGAGCTTGTGATTTTTCAAAAGAAGTTGAAAATCAGGATGATTATGATGTGAAATCTCCCAATTCATAAATGTTGGTTTAAAAGTACTGCATGGGCCAAATAAAACATCTGCAGCCACTTTGGGCCCACAAGCTGTTGGTTTTAAGCCTCTGGTTTGACCCTCACCTACACTTGTCTAGACTACTGCAGTGGTCCTGGGCACCCCGCTCTTCTGCCGCAGCCTCCGCGCTGCCCCTGGCTTTTCTTTCTCTCCAAATTACAGATCTCATCGCCCACATCTTTGCTATCTGCAGAACAGAGTACACATTCCTTAATGTTGCCTTCAAGGTCTTTCTCAGTCTAACTCAGCCCCTCTCTCCAGCTGTGTCTCCTAACACCCTGGGCGCACCTTGGCTGCGCTCCTCACATGGGCCCACTCCCTTGCTCTCGAGCAGTACCAGTATTTTTTTTAATTAATCGACTGTTTTTTAGAACAATTTTAGATTTACAGAAAAATTGAGCTGGTAGTACAGAGAATTCTCATGTATTCCTCTCCTCCCTAACCCCTCCCTGCAATTTTCTCGTACTATAAATATCTCGCATTAGTGTGGTACAGTTGTTAGAATTAATAAACCAATATCGACACATTATTATTAACTAAAGTCTACAGTTTAAATTAAGATTTACTCTTTTTGTTGACAACACCGATATTTTAATACCATTCACAATTTTTTTGAAAAATTCTTTCCTCTGTTTGTATAATGTTCCTTCCATTCTGGCAAGAAATCCTTTTCAAGGCTAAATATGACTATCACTCTTTCTTCAAAGCCTTCTCTGCTTAGTTTTGGAATGGAGCTGGAGGGAGGAAACAGACAAAACACAGAACAGAACTAACATTTTTTTAACAGATGCCTAGTGTATACCAAGTAGTTTACATATTCTTTTAAATCTCTGTGCAGTCCTACAAGATAGGTATTATTATAGACCGTTTACCATGGGGAAACAGAGGTTAAGTTGCCCAAAACCCCACAGCTAATAATTCGTTTACACCCATGTCTAAGTGGCTCCAAAGTCTGGTCTCTTCTACTCTCTCCCATGTGGCTCGATTCTTACCACTAATCTAGCCTTCCTGCTTTCCCCATCAGATTAGGACTCCACTGGAGTAAGGAGTGCAGTGTTATTCAGCTCTGTCTCCACTCTGAACACATAATTCGGTACCTACTGCAGCTCATTGAACCCATGGGAATGTTTCCTAAAGAAGTGAAGATAGGAAGAGGCACTAAATATTGACTTCAGTTCTATTTGGCAAATGCTTGTTGATTTCCTACTATACACCGGACTTCTTGTTGGGTGAGGTCAAGCATAAAAGGGAAAGTGATGGTGATGCTACCATGCAGGTTATAAATCATGACCAGGCAGGGTCAGGGAAGCTATTGATTCCCCATTTATCCACGACTAGAATGTAAACTGCAGGAGAGCGGGAATTATTTGGTCTCTGCTGCAGCCCCTAGGACAGTGCCTGGTAATAAGAGTTGTTTAATAAATATTTGTTGTCTGAATGTTTGAATCCTGTTGCAAATTTGGGACACCTAAAATGACACTGTATTTTTCAGAGTTTTCATGTGTGTTCAGTTAATCATCCTCCTCGGTCTGGCAGCTTTGGTTTCTGTGTGCTTGGTTCAATACAGCCCTGTATTATAGGCTGCTTCCAAACTATCCCAGGCCTGGGCCTGACCACTTTCTTAGCCCAGAAGTTCTTTTGAACCAAAGCTTTAGGAAAGTGGGGCAGGGAAGAGGAGGAGTTGCCTTGCCCCTGCCATCCTTGAAGAGCTGATGGACAAATGACCCCTCTTGGGAGCTGCCTGGAGCTCCTGGGCCTGACTTTAGATCGTAGTTCCAGAGGGCCTGGCCTTAGGCCTGGACCTCATGCCAAAGGATGGCCTCATTTTTTTTCAACCCCACACTCAAAATGTCATGTTGTGTATTTAAATATTTTCATTAATTTTTTTAAGGAAAAATGTTATCTCAGAAACATTAACCTATTTCATATGTTTGCCTACTAAACTTTTCTTTCTCTCCCCTCTGTCTTCTGTTCTCCTTCCCTACTGAATTTTTTCCTTGACTTCTCTGACCCTGTCTTTCATTCGTATTGCTCTGTCTCTTCAACGTGCTTATTTCCACCAAGGTTCTTCTAAGTATACCTCTCTCTCCATTTGTTCCAAGTAAATAGATCACTCTCCATTCCTGGTGAATAGCCAGGATCACAATTGTTGTCTGGTTTTTGCCCAAAGTGACAGAATTGATGGACCTGTAGGCTGATTTTCATAAACCAGAGCTACCAAGCGTTTCAAAAACAGTGTTGTTTTTGCCAAGTAAGGTGAGCAAATATAGGACTAAGTTTAAACATCCATCAGGAGTTATTTTTGAAGTGATTGCTTCTAAATTAGAAGCATTTGAAAATCTCACAGTTTTCTTTACAAGTAAATTCCAAAGTCATGTATTTTGCTGGTGTCTGCTGATTAATTACAATCCTGTGACACCATGAAAAACCCTGGTGGTTGGTTTTGTGCAGCTGTGGAGAAAAGTAAAGCAGGGCCCAGTGACTTTGCCAACTCTTTCAGGACAGTGGGGATTCAGGCTGAGGGAGGTATTTTTTCCCCCTGGCAGTCACCACATGAGAACAGAAGCCCCAGCCAGAGCCATTTCTCCAGACTCCACGAGGGGGTGTGGTGAAGGAGTGACATTTGATCTGTTGCTTCTGAAATAACAGATCCATTATTAGAGAAAACATTTTCCGTGTCCACATCAGGACTTGTGTGCATTCTCCTATATATACAGTTACTTCTGTTTAGGAAAAAAAACAGCGGTTATATACAGCAAAGTAATCAAAATTTATTTTGATTCTCTAAACAAAAGGTGCTCAGCATGTATGTGTTGTTGGTGATTGCAGACGTCCGACCCAGTAAAATTTGCCAGTTCATCCGTTTAGGGTCTGATGACTCTGAATCGATTTTATCTGGCCTCTTACATTTTCTCATTATCCCTTTCCATATCTAACTCCAATTATTTCACTGCTGTAAGCCTCTTGTTGAGAGGACAGAAAGAGAAGAAGTTGAATCTGATTGCTTAGAGAGAATTTTCTGCAGCTCTAGTGAAGGGTACAATAGGGAAAGAAAACAAACATTATTAAAATAGACTTTCAAAGATCTTGGTATATTTATCTCTACTTGCTTTGCTCCACCCACCTCTTCCCTTTGATTTAGATAAGGAGGCCCATGACTGAAGGACTGCTTGGACATGCATCTTTCGCCTTGGCACTAGCTAAGGTCAAAGGAACTCATCTGTGCCCTCGTCCTCTTTCTTTCTTTGCTGCAGGTCTGTTCTCATCACAGAAGCCTTGTGGATGTCATTGCTGAATCTGAATCCAACACAAACACACACATTTGCACACAGCCTGTGTCACTAGTCTGCTGGAACTGTAGCCTTCATTCTAAATATAGGCAGCTAGAGAGAGAACAGGATCTACTTTTCTCTGTTTAATTCTAGTATTGCACTTAATTCTAGTATATAATGCCATGTAAGAGAGTGGGACTTGTCTGCATTGCTGCCTTCACTCCTGACATCCAAGGGAAGATCTGCTAAAAAATCTAGCTAGTTACAAAAATCACTACCCAATATTTGCAAAGGGAAGAATTAGTTTGGCCTGCCTCTTTAGCCAGAACTGTTCTGATGAACCCAGACATGTAAACCAATTTAGACTCTCAGACAACTTATTTTTCCTATGGTAAGACTTTGACTTTAAAAGGCACATTTTATTTTCACATGAGACGGCTGACATAACGATGTTTGCATTTCTTTGCTGAAATCAATTTATAGATTGTTTATAACTAATAAGCTTTTGTAGCAAATAATTGTTTGGCAACAGAGTAGTCACTCATTTTTGGAATTGTGCAGTTTGAAACCCACAGGTATGGGTTAAGGACGTTTTTCTCCACTGCTGCATCCTCCAAAGCCAACATGCTTTTCTGCAAAGAGAGCAGAGCCACATTCTGCAGGTGTCTGTTTTCTCTGAGGGGAATATTTTGAGGAAACCTAAAAGGGAGGAACTAAGCATTTAGGAAAAATATATTTTCACAGCAGGATATTGTTTTTTCTCTTTTTTTTTGGTTTAGGTTTTCCATTTGTTACAAGCTTACTCAGACTCCAAACACAGAACGAATTCAGACTTTCAGCACGAGCTGACTGACATCACTGTTTGTACCAAAGCCAAACTCTGGCTGGCCAAGAGGTATGTTAAAACCCCACATGAGCAAGGAGTTATCAGGGGTTAGGAATACATTCGAGAATTGCTGTTTCTAGTTGTGGGGAGTTCTGAAAGTCATTGGCATGAGTTTTCTAAACTTATTGGAGTATTTATCCTTTTAGAACTTTGGGTTGTGGTAAAGAAAGAAAAATATTTTTTTGACAATTTTTCTAAAACTGCTGAGTGACTGAGGGGCAGGCATACAATACAGCTTTTTATCTGCCTACCAGTCAGCTTGTTTTTAGTAATACCTGCTATGTGCCCAGTCCTGTGTTAAATAATATAACAATAAAAGGCAGTAATTGACTAAATCATGTGGTACAAACTCGTAGGTGCCATCACAACTCAGAGATTAGAGATTGGTGTGAAATTAGAGCAGGCACTGAGAGCAGGTACGGCGTCAATAGGAAGAGGGGGTGGAAGTTGCCATTCTTAGGTGGGTAGTAAGGTAGCTTGAATAAGCAAGGCAAAGAAGGGTGGAAACTTTTATTTATTTTTTTTTTATTCATCCTTGGCATGGTTAATTTGTTCTGGAACTTAGAAAATTTACTACATGAAAGATGGGGTGAAAAGAATTTCATATTTAATATACAGGGAGTCCTCTCTGTAACACTGTGTTCAAAATCTGTGTGGCGGGGCTTTGATAATGGTAGGACAGAGTACCCTGTGTGTCCTCTGTAAGTTCCAGCAGAGTAGGTCCAGAAGAGGCCCACATGCTACTACATTCCATGCCACAGTATACACATTTGATTAAGAGTCAGTGTATTGGTTGTCTAATGTAGGAGCCTCTCTTTTTTATTTTTTTAAATGTATGTTTGTTTAGTTCCATTGGGCTCCCCACCTTATATGACAAGTCAAGTAATGGGCAATGTGAGGCTCTCAAATCTGTTTAATTCATCAAAGTATTGTTGAGCACAGGCTACATCCCAGCCTTTGTGTTAGAAGATGTGGGCATGCAAAGATATGGAAGAACCAGTCCTGGCTTGAAGGACTTCCAGGAGGTGAGAAACATGTGTAAATAAATAATTTTCATCCGGCATCTTAAGGGTACTAATGAATGTGTGCAGTTGGTACAGGAGTAGACCAGAAGAGGGGCAGGGAAGGGCTAACATCGAACCGGCCATCAAGGGATGAGTAGAATTTTGCCAAGTGGCCAAGACAGGAAGGGAATTCCAGGCTTAGGCAGTAGTGTAGGCAGAGAAATGGTAATATGAAATGGCATGGTAGGTTTGGAGAACTGTAAAAAAGTTGGCATTTTTGGAATCTAAAGTGTAAGACACATGTGGCAGAGAATGAGGCATAGGAAATATGCAGAGGCCACACAGTGCAAGCTCCTAAAGGAAACATTTCAGTGAAGGAGAACCAGTGGTGGATCTCCCAATGTGTGGATATGTGTATCTCAATTATCTCAGCACTGATAGCTTTCAACAGGAATATTGATGGAGAAATTCTCTAGTATCTGAAATGCCAATGAAGTTATGGCGAAGCTCTCATTTTAAATCTGACTTTTGTTTTCTCCATTTTATTTAGAGAGTAGGAGTTGCTTGTCCATAAACTATTTCCCTAAGCCTATACCATTTGCCTTCTGCATGACTCTTAGACAGCCTCCCAAGACATATTTCTGGGGAGAACAGGAACTTGTGATCACATATGTACTCTCAGCTGTTTACCAGTTAAAAGGCCAGGTCCTCCTAGCTATTATTTCTGGGGATCAGAAAGTCAGGGTTCTCCAAAAATCGTCCTGTTGAAACCCTCCTTCCAGCCAGGACTACTATAAGAATCCTAACTCTCCATTTCTTAAAGTGCTATAAGGAAGGGGTTTCTGCCCCCTTAGCTTGCTACTCCTTCATGAGTCTCACAGAAAGTCATTACCCACTGAGCTCCAGAATCCATTTCCCTTTGTTGGGTGGAATGGAGGAGATGGAATGACAGCCCAGCCATTGAATGGACCTTCATGTGCTACAGTGCCTGCGGATGGCTAAAGAAGCTGCCATCAGCTTCCTCTTCAGCTAGAGAAGTCCTGCTGACCTTGTTTTTAACCCTTCCTGTGGTAGGAAGTACTGTTTTCTAGCTAAGCTGTTCATCCTCCTTCCCCTCACCTCCCTGCCCCACTTCTCTGATTTTTTTTCCATGATTTTCCAGCCCTAGAAAACAAAGGCATGAATCACTGCAATTCACTGGGTTTCCACCTTCCTTGCCCAGAGTCTAGGAAAGCCACTTTTCTGTTTCCAGTACAGTCAACTCTCTATTATCCAAGTGTGAACTTTCCACTTCGTGGGTGGTGTGTAGATGGTTCCTAATACCAGGCTTCCTTTTGCTCCCCAGCACACTTTTACAAGTATTAATCAGGATGTGTTCAGAGCCTGGAATAGAGTTTGGAAGGAAAACATACTGCCAAAGCACAGTGCATTCCTTTCAAAGCTATGTATCAGTTTTTCTATATTATCCATAGCATTGACAGGATAACCTTGAGGTTCCTGAATAGGAAATTGTAGAATTGGGTGTAAGCGATGAAACCTCAGCCTGCCACACATGTCTCCCCTGTCCCTGAGGTCCTCTTGCTCCAAGGCATGTTTGTCTGCACTAGTTAACTCCATGCTCAGATGAACCTGCTCTGGATCCTAAGGGTCCCTTCTCAAAGCAGGCCCTACCTTCACTCTCTCACTTGCTTTTCCCATGAAGATGTTATGATGCAGAGGGTTCCAAACTCAGCTGCTGAAGAGGCTCCTTTATGTCCCAGGTAATTTACACATGAGAGAGGAATAAATGTTCCTTTGAGCCTACTAAGAATTTTCTGTATCTTTTGAGTATAAGCTATGAAAAATTAATGTTACTGCAAAAAAGAAATGTTGGCTTAAATTTTAGCACCAACACCTTTTTCCTTCTATAATTTATTTGATCATTAGCCTGAGTTCATTCTGTCCAATAAGTACAAAAATGTTAGTGGATATATCATTTATTTGTCCTTTTGTTCCAAAAAGAAGGTTTAAAAAAAATTCACTGGAGCCATTAGATAACCAATTCAGGTTTTAAGTTTTGACCCTAAAACTGAGGGCACATAAAATGAAGAAACTTTTGTCATATATTTGTGTTTTGACTTTGCAAGATTAATAGGGATTTATATGAGGTGATTAAGCAATAGCCATGGAGTTGTTGGGGAATTTTTGGTGATGAATAGTCAGCTGGCAGCATGGCCTGAGTGGGAGACTGGGCTTCTGCTCTTACAGGCTGCTTCTCATTCCAAGACGTCAAAGCCTTGTGGAAATCAGCTCGTTAATCCTTCAAGTCCCTTCCTTCCCCTTTTCCCTCCATTCCTCCCTCCTTGATCCAGCTCACTGTCTCTCTCATGATGCTAAGGCAGTTTACCAACCACTGAAGTAAAACTAAACTGACCCAGGCCAGGAGCGGAGTAAGAATAGGAGTCTGCCTTTGGCCTGGAAAGGCTGGCTGTGGGCGCCATGAAAGAGGATCTGGGATGGGGCAGTCCCAGATCGCTGCCCAGTCTGCCACCCTTGCTATTTGCAGATTCCAGCTCTGGATCAATTATTTACTTTGGTTGAGAGTTATAATTGCTATTACATTGGGCTTAAAATTTTTTAGAAATGAATTTGGTTATCTCCTTCTTTGGTTATAAAAGAGGGAAAAAAAAACCAAATGTGTGTGTGTGTTCCTTTTAGTAAACTTAGAGAACTAAATGAACTATTCAGATTAAGTGCAATGGATGATATGATGACCAGAAAGAAAAATGTGTCCTACTACAATTTTTTTCACCTTTTTTCTTGATTGTGAATGTAGTGTATGATTTATCATAGAAAATCAGTCAAGTACAAAATTTGGAAAACAGGAGAATAAAGTCTAGTTTTACCACAATCCAGTGAAAATCACTATTATTGGTTAACAGTTATATGTAGTTACTTCATCTTTTTTCCTTTTTCTTTTTTTGCTTTTCTTATCCTGTCGAAGTTATACTATATATATGTTATAGCTTGCATTTTTCATTTGATGGCATCATAAAAACATTTGCTATTATTATTATTAAAAGCTACTTATGGTACAACTACTGTGGAAAACAGTATGGGGTTTCTTCAAAAAATTGAAAATAGAATTACTATATAATCCAGCAATTCCACTTCTGAGTACATACCCAAAAGAATTGAAAGCAGAGTCTCAAAGAGATATTTGTACAACCATGAACATGGCAGCATTATTCAAGATAGCTAAAACGTGAAAACAACTCAAGTGTTCTTTGAGGAATGATGAATGGATAAACAAAATATGCTATGTACCTACACTGAAATATTATTTAGCTTTTAAAAGGAAGGAAATTCTGATAAATGCTACAACATGGATAAATCTTGAGGATATTATGCTAAGTGAAATAATTCAGTCACAAAAAGACAAATACCATATGATTCCACTTTTAGAAGGTATTCAGAGTAGTCAAATTCATAGAGACAAAGTAGAATGGTGGTTTCCAGGGGCTAGGGGAAGGAGGGAATAGAGAGTTGTTTAATGGGTATAGAGTTTTAGTTTACAAGATGAAAAGAGTTCTAGAGATTGGTTGCACAGCAGTGTGAATATACTTAACACTACTGAACTGTACACTTAAAAGTGGTTAAGATAATAAATTTTATATTATGCATGTTTTACCACAATGAAAAAATTTTTTAATGAAAAATATTTAAAACAAAAAAATTTCTTGTACCCTATCATTCCTCCAGGGTTATCATTGTCCTGACATTTTATGATAATTATTTCTTTGCTTTTTTTCCTAGTTTTACCACCTGTGCATCTCTAAAAATAAAATACTTTTGCCTGTTTTTGAATTAAGAAAAAAATCTTTAAAAACATAGTTTGTTGAAGCATATTTTTGTCACTGGAATAATCAGTCATTAAGTTTACCTAATCATTGTTTCATTGCTGGCTGTTCAGTTTGTTTCCTATTTTCTGGTGTCATAGATGATGTTCTATTGCATGACTATGTG